AGGTGTTTTTTCTTCTCTGTGTGGTCTCAAGGGTTTGGGTTTGTTTTTGCGGTAACTTATACTGTATACTGTCACCGGTCAATGTCAGTTTGATTTGTGACATATACCATAATTGCATGGACTTGTGTCCACAAAATGTTTGCATCATTGTTTTCAGTGGGCGTTCAGTGGCTACATAAAATTAGTAGCACTATACTGCTAACTGTTCAGTACACAGTCTCTTTCCCAGCAAGTGTGCATTATCGAGTCGGCTGGTGAGAGGATTGTACAGTATGTGAAAATCAATAGCAATGAAGGAGAGTAAACATGTACAGATGTCTGTAAGTGTGGCGGAGTACAGTTTAGCCTGCGATCTGGCCCATCCGTCTCTGTATCAGCACATTAACTCAACACCCTCCTCAGAGGTGCTTTGCATCACGGCTCGTGTCTCATTATGTTTGCACATGGGTCCACTTGAAAGAGACATACTTTAAATGTTCCCTGTCTAGACCCTCACAAAAGTTCTGCTCCAGCAGCCACTTCATTATTCATTCCTAAATGAGTTTAGTGGTGATTTCCTCAAGACCAGCTCTTTTACAGCTTTTATTGCATGTGTTTTCTTGAAGACAAATTATGTATAATGAGATTGAAGCTCTGCTAATAATTGTCTCGGGCCTTGGTCTATGTCTCACAAATCATTAATTCTTGTTATTATTTGAATAAAAAAAATGTTTTCATAATCTCTCATTTACATGCAATATCTTCATCTTCCACTGAAACAACTCTTCTGATGATGTAACTGTTTAGTCAGAGAAAAATTTTATTAGCCAGTTATCACTTTTCAAAATGTATTCAAATCCTGTTGGATACAATCAAGCCATGGCATGCATTATTTCTGCATGCCATTATTTTATTTTATTCTATTTTATTTTATTGTTGATGTTTTTATAGATTTTACACTACTGTTAAAACGTTTGGGGTCAGTAAGATTGATCTTTTGGAAAGAAATTAATATTTTTATTTAGCAAGAATGAATTAAATTGATCGAAAGTGACTGTAAAGACTTTTATAATATTACAAAAGATTTATATATATTAAAATAGAACATTTATTTGAAGTTGTAATAAAATTTCACAGCATTACATACTGCATTTTTAAGAAATGTCCTTCCAAAAAAAAATCTTACCAACCCCAGACTTTAGGATGGTATTGTACCTATATTGCTATTTTGTTTCACCCAGAAATATGTCAGATTACAGTAGCTAAATGTGTTGCGAATATTACGTCATTTTGTCTTCAAGCCACAGAAGCTGGTGGCTGTCCAGACCTTGCAGCTACAGATTTCTCTTTACATAGTTCATTCAACCCACGCTCTTTTACTCTTCCATTCACTCTCTCCTCTACCTCCATGTCAGACCTGCTGTAATACTGCACAACACAATCTTTCATTCAGCCTCCATCAATTCCTTTGCCATTACGATATCCTGCAATCTGCTTCCCCCCAGCCCCCATTCATGCTCCACTCGGGCCACTTCTGCGCTCTGCACCGGTCCGCACTTCCATATCCCTGTCTCCAAACCACCAACAGACCTGATTACAGGAAGCCTATTTAGATATGATGTATTGTCAGCCGTGGGGCGGCTTTGAATCATTCTGTCACATTCGACTGTTTTTGTTGTTCTTTCCTTTGCCGATAGCTGTGGTCTGTTCTCCATCATGCTCCGGGATTGTTTTAACTGTTTTTTTTCTCGTCTTGCTCTTTAAGTAAACAGCCAGTCAATCACAGTGCGGCGTGAACGACTGTGCATCCAGGCGGTCATTGAGGCCGAGAGAGTCGAGGTTAATGCCGCCTCTCAATCAGCGAGTCGTTGAGCCCTACTGCGTTTCGCCGCATGAGGTCTGCTGTTATTAGCCAATGTCAACCGCTTTTTAATGAAGTTACGGCTTATTGTTAAAGTAAACATGACATTTTATAGAGTTGGTTGGGATGCAGCCTGGCTTTTCACAAATAACTTCTTTCTTTTCAATGCGCGTTTCAGACTTCATGTCAAAACCAGATACTCGACCAGCATTTGCATGTTCTCATAAAGCTATAGATCCCACCTGCCATTGGATGTTGTATCAAGAGGCATCGATGTACAGTCAGAGCTGCCCCTGTTCCCCGATGGAGGAGGGCCAGGCTGGGCACAGCTTGTGTTCTGGGCTCCAGGGGTCTGGTTCTGTCTGGGCCCTTGGCCATCTGAATCCACTCCACTGCACTCAGAGGCTGCCCACAGTCTGTCCTCTCAGCTGTGGAGCTGATGGGAGCTGGGTGAACTCCCTCAGGAAATGTCCAGGCTGCGGCCTACAGGGCAAACAGAAGGGAGGCCGGAAGAGAGAGAGGCTGTTACACTTCAGCAGAACAATTAACTGAGGGCCAGAGGACTCCAGTCCTCAATTGCTATTTTTTGCTGCTCCTCCTCTGTTCTGTTTGAGATTTGATGCTTCAGGCAAAAGAAAGGCTATCAAAAGAGAATAAGAGAGGGGGAAAGTGTGTGTGAAGAGTGAATAACTGTTAGAGGGACTCTTGGGTATCTTATGTCACATACCCAAATCATTTTATTATAGTATTTGAGTATTAAAGTAAGATCTTGGCCTCTTTCCTGACTTCCTTCCATTGTGGAATACATTACATCCAACTTATTTGTCTTTGCTCATTTTAAGTGCTGATAGTTGTTTAAGTATAATAAAGTTAAAGGATAGACAACATAGATCCCCATTGCTTATTTGAATCAAGCAATTATCACCAAAGTGAGAGAAAATAACAGACATTTTGACATATTTGACACTTTTGTTTATATCATAATCTCTAAATTATTTGATAAATGTTTAGCAAATTTTTAAATATTTTGTGTACCATATATATAGTATAAACCCAGCTTAAAACCAGTATAAGGTGGCTACAAAATTGATCGGGACACTTTAAAATGTATGCATTGTAAACCAAGCCATTTATTTTAAAATAAAATAGCACACTTTTCAAAGACAAACATGTCAAAAAAGTCTGTTTGTTAGGTTTAAAATGATAAAAACATGGATATACAATTTAGAATGAATATAAAAAGTATCTTGACACTTGTCAAATGTCAAATTATTTTGAAACTCAATGATTTTGAAACTCGTCAAATGTTAGTGGATCGATGAACTACATTCTGAGCTCTATTCTGATAGGACACCTGTGTGAACCTCTGTCAGTACATCCTCTAAAAATCACCTTGAAATGTGATGTTAGAGAAAGAACAGTTGTGAGAAAAGTTTTAAATTTGTTTGATGCTACTTGGTTTGGTTTGTTATCTAATGCATTGAAATTCATACATATTTAAGCATAGCTTAAATGTCTTAATACTTTTGGGACCACTTTTCTGTATGCTGCATATCAAATATCGAGTATCTCTGCTTACATATATCTCTCTGTATATCTCTGACTCTCTCTCAGTGAAGCACAGAAGGGCTCTGTGTGAATGTGCCCCTGAGGGCTGGAGTTTAGCACCACAACAGATAAACACACAAACAAGCTCAGTAGGCCAGTGCTGGAGAAAGACCCATTGTCTCAGTGTGAAAGTCCCACTCAATCCAGGGAGGTTAGAAAAACATTGGACCAAGCACCATGTGGTCCACCCGTGCAGGATGTTTGGCCCTATCACACAGATCGGGTTCCTTTTTCAATATTATTTTATTGCTTTGTCCTCAGTGAGCATTCGTGAAGCTGTCTATGGGCCTCTGAGGAGTGGGAGGTGGCGCTTTACAGAAATGAAAACTTTAATTGAATTATTTGCTCATAACGGATGTCTATAGATTTGTTTTGCACATTACTGGTGCTTATTTATACAAAACAGAAGAGGGAGTTGAATTCTGAATGATTTGGTATTGGAGTTTAAGGACACAGAAAATTTAAAAAGGCGCCTTTTAGTTCTGTGTTGATCTTAATCTTGCTTATAGATTAAATGATCTGGCTACTTCTGGTTATCATAAGATCTGTGCAAGTCTTTGTTAGCCATTGGTATAAATAATATTTTGCTGATGTGTGATATTAGCTGTATGTGTGTTTGTGTTTAAAGGAATATTCTGAGTTCAGTACATGTTAAGCTTAATAAACATTATGTGTTCACCATATAATGTTGATTGCAACAAATAATAATTTCATCTTGTGAATTTTTTGGTATTATTATTAATAATAATAATAATTATATTTATAATTAAATATAATAAAAATTATTATTATTACATAATTAATTATTAAATAAATAAAGTATTATTATTTATTTAATAACTAATATACAGTATATATATATATATATATATATATATATATAGTGTGTGTGTGTTTTCCACACTAAAATCATGTTAACATGCATATTATTTACATTTATTGTAGCTGTACCATTGCAACTATGAGTATATTAACATTTACTTCCATTGCAAGTATTTTTGCTTTTTTTTAAGGAAAAGGAAGGACATGTGGAAATAACTTTTTCTGGTAATCAACATGATGCTGCCAATACTGTCTATTGAGCTGAGCTTGCTCTGAACCTGGAATATTTTGCCTGACACACAAGCACAAAGTTGCATTGCTGTTAAACTATAGCATTTGCAATGCAGTTGAATCTGTCACAAGTCTCATTGCTCACAACCAGTTTTTGAAGCTTTTCATGAAGGTTGTGCCATTGCACCGACTGCAAAAATAGACAGGATCCATTCACACAAACTGCTCAAGTGTTGTTTTATTTATAAAGTGGTGCCTTGTGGTTGCAAACTGCTAAAGCATGGGAATTGATACAGATATTTTGGCAGCTAGTTAGGAAACATAATATTTGATACTTTAGCTATCATTTTATTGCTTTTTGCTTTTGTGTTTTTTGGAACCATATTGAGGTCTGAAGGAAATGACACTTATGTTTTATATACATTTCTTTGTAATGGTAATTGCAGATGGGTGTTGAATTTCCCTGCGGTAACATGGTTGAATTTTCTCTTTCCTGCAGCACTGAATGAACCCACTATTGACTACGGTTTCCAGCGGCTACAGAAGGTGATCCCTAGACACCCAGGCGACCCTGAACGCTTACCAAAGGTCAGTTCTCTAACTATTGTGCTTACTTTCTTTTAACGTTAGCATGAAGTCAATATTGACCCTATTTACTTTCTTATTGTGAACAGTTCATTGGTGCTTTATTCCAAAGAATATCCTTTCAAATAACATTTTGTTTTCTGCTGATGTCAATTAGGCCACACAGGCTACTGGATAATATTAACCAATACCCAAATAACTATTTAGACTCTGTTTGGCTCTAATCTGGTATATAAATGATTAAGAATTTCCAAAGAATGAGTCCCGTCCAGATATTTTCTCATTGAATATTATGTTTCACTCATCACATTATAGAAGAAAAATGGGTTTCAGTGTTGACTAATTTCTCTACTTCGCTTTTATTTTCAAAGAGCAATTACTAACGTCAACACACTGGTCCTGATTTCCATTTATCACGGTAGCCTTAGCTGAAACGCGGTCTAGTTATTTGAACCATTCATTAAAGACTCCTTCAGTTCAGAGATTATAGTATATTCAATTCCATGCAGTTGTGTTCGGTATTCTCATGAAAGGAGTCCAGTTGTGGGTGTTTATTTCTCTCTCCATGCACGCTTCTTAAGGAGAGGCAGGCCAAGTAAATGGATCCTTTGGGAGGGATAAATAAACATTACTTTATCTTGTTGTGCGTGTCCTATACCCCAGAGCCCCGCTCCAGCAGCACCACTTAATAGTGTAAAAAAAATAAGGGAGTAATTATGGCTGGCTGGGCCTGCTCACACTCAGGACTGACCTTGTGCTGTTAGCAGCCCTCTGTATCAAAGCTGGGCCATCAGTATTCACAGCCCATGAGGAACCTCCCAATCCATTACATCTTAAACACATCAAATTAGACCAGAGGGTCAACGAATGTGGCATCAAACCAAAGCCAATCTACAGGAATCAGGCAAATGTAGAGTTGGTGGCCAAGTAGTTGCAGTGGGCTGCTAATCTCATGTGACCTGCAGCACACAGCACTGTTATTTTAGTATCATAGACATACTATTATAGTTGTATAGGTACACTTTAGTATAGGGACCAGTTCTCACTATTAGCTAGTTGTTTGTTAGCATGCCTATTATTAACATATTGGCTATTTATTAGTACTTATAAAGCACATATTCTACATGACCATATTCTACATCCCTAATCCTACCCAATACTTAAACTTAACAACTACCTTGCTAACTAGTAATAAGCAGCAAATTAGGACTTTATTTGGAGGCAAAAGTCACAATTAATAGTTTGTTAATAGCGAGAATTGGACCTTAAAATAAAGTGTGTCTGTTTTATATGTACAGGATGTATATATTTTAAGTAATTATTTTAGTGCATCAACTTATAATAAAAGAACTAAATAAAAAATATTGTCTTGGCAACTAGCTGAAATAAAATATACTGTATATATATATTTGTCTGTTTTTTTTCTTTCCTTCTTTTCATTGAGGCACACAGTTTAGTGATTTAGTAGAGTGTTTGACAGGAAGTGATATCATAGTTGTGCCTTTGTGATGTCAACATTTAACATTTTGCAGGCACACTATGGGTCATGGGTTACAGCACAGATTGGGTGTTGTGGGCACTGCACTGTTATTTTCAACTAGTCAGCCAAGGTTTAAAAAATATGCTACCAATCAAATGTGTGCATACTCCCCATTCTTTATTATTATTATTATTAGTAGTAGTAGTAGTAGTATTCACATTTTATCTACATAATAATGAAGTAATCAAAACTATGAAAGCTTTTCATTTACAATCCACTTGGGGGAAAAAAAAATCTTAACTATTTTCTAAAACAAACTGAGAATCATATAGGTACAATTCATATTTGACTACAGCTAAAAAATAAAATAAAACAAAATACAATATTGTTATTTAAACATAATTAATTAATTTTTCACTGCAAACTCCTTTTTGAGCTTTTAGATCATGAAAATATTAACTCAAGTGTGTCCAAACTTTTGACTGGTAGTGTGTAGTGATATTATTTGCTAAATGTTATCTGTAGCTTAAGAAATAAACATGTCATAAGCAATTTTCCATTTTATTTGTTTTATCCAACATCAGGAGATTGGACATTCAGACTTTCTCACATATCAGTCCTTTTCCTCCCTCTATCTCTCTATTTCTTCTTTCATTCTCTTCCCTCACTCTCTCACTCTCTCACTCATCCCTCGTGTTAGTGTCCATTCCCCAGCTGGTGGGGAGAGGACAGATCTTCTGTCTCCTGTCAGTGGGGCTAAAGAGGGCCACAGTGTTTGATCTCAGTCCCTAATGAACCACATGGACATTGTCTGAATACCTTCCTCTGCAGTCCCACACTCTGAACCCTGTGCTACCACACACACACATACGCATACTCACATACACACACTTTCCCTCCATCGTGTACTGGAGAACTGTGCTGACCCACTAAAGGGCCCAGCAGACATGTGTTGCTACTCGTCCCTCCTTACGCTGATAGGGACTATTACATTACTGGCTCATTTATGTCACAGATGAAGATATAAATATCCCCTTATAATGACAGATACATAAATATACATGGAAATATAAATTGCTAGACATTTAAAATAGCATATTGAAAGTTCCCACGGTCATCTGCAAATATCAGGATATTTTTTTACATTTTACAATTGTGATTTCCATTTTTTATTTTTTTAGTTTAAGCTCCATGAAAATATTGTTAAAAATCAACATGCCATAGGAATCAATTGGTCAAAATATTCGGGAACCCTGTTTTTGTCATTTGCTTGTCAGCTTCTCTGCAGAAAGAGGAAAAGTTAAATGCGCCCCACAATGATTATTTTTCTCTTTCTGCCATATTGGAACAGTCTGGTAATTCTCATTGAAACTGGGGCAGCATGTTGCTCACATATGCTCTCTGTGGTCTTAACCTTGGCTTGATTTGGACTCATTTTCCTGGGCTGATGATGAAGCTGAATGCATTAGGTGGGTCATGGTCGGGGTCACATCTTTCCCACTGTTTTCAGCGTAAGGGAGGTAGATCTGAATACACTCGTGGCCACACTCCCCAGAGAGCCCGCTTATATTTTTAACCAATTCTTTACCTTTTAATGAATAGGGTGGGATGGCCCACAAGTGAGCAGCATCACTCTATTAGAAGTGCTGAATAAAACAGGTAGGCAAAACTACTCGGTGAGACAGCTTCAGGGTCAGGTATAGGGGAAGTCCCTGAGGAAGCAGTTAGATTCTTGTTTGGTTATATTAGGATACTGAAGTACGTGCCCACTTTTTCAACAACCCCACTTTAAAAACAAATTGGCATATTAAGCCTTGTTTTCAGAGAAATCTAACCAAATTAATTGCTTAGAACAATCAATTTTCAATCAAAATCAAAAAATCAATTTGGGTAAGAAAAATTGCCATATTTAAAATAAAAAAAATGAAGCAATATAAATTTTTATATTTACCCTATTTGCATTTTTTTTATTTTTTCCCATTAAACCCTTACTAAATTTTGTTATATTTGTCTAAATACAAACCTTAATATCATAGGTCATTTTGCTTCTCAGGTAAATGTCTTATTTCAAGAATGTTAACCTATTTTTACTGAAAGACAAAAAATTGCTGTGTATTATTTGTGTGTGTGTGTGTGTGTGTGTGTGTGTGTGTGTGTGTGTGTGTGTGTAATGCATTTTCTTCATTGGGATTACAAAAAAACTAAAGTTACAAACTTTGAAGCAAAAAAAAAGTATTTGAAATTTAGAGTTATGCTTAATGTATTTTATGGGGGAAGGAACTACAATCCAATGAAGCACTGAAAATGATGTAATATGTAATAAAAGAAACCACAATATGAAACTGACTCATAGTCAATGTGCAAAATACAATATATTTGAAGTTTTTGTTACAAAATACATTATTCACAGTGCTTCATGAGAGTGGGACTGGGACATGCTGAGTTCCTTCTTTGTGTTTTTCATTTCTGAATTTTTTTTTTTTTTTACATTGGTTCCAAGTTGGACCTCTAGTCTTGATTTTTTGGAGGATTATGGGTAGTGTAGTTGAAATAACGCTGACTTTTGGCTTCACCAGAAGCATATGCTATCACTTAACAACCCCCAAGCTCATGGTAGGTCTTTTCTGACAGATTTACATTTTTCTAAATGGAGAAAATGAATGACTAATGAATAGAAAATTACTTTTTACCCTCAAATGTTGCCCTCTATTGTATGATAGTATGATCATCTTCAGAAAATGCAGAGCACATGGAAAACAATACCCCAATACGTTCAACATCACACAAGCATGTACACCTTTAGTCCTGGGCCTTGACAGGTTGGCATAGAGAGAGACAGAGAACAAATAACAGAGGTAGAGAGAGAGAGAGAGAGAGAGAGAGAGAGAGAGAGAAAGAGAAAGAGAGCAGGGTGATCCATCATGGTGAAGTCAGCTGTCCGTTGCTGCCTTCTCACAGGTCAGCCGATCGAAGGCACCACAGCCCTCACTTTATTACTGCTCGCCCAACAATAATTGAGTCACCACAAGGGGGAAGAGGCAGCCAAGGCTGCACAAGGAAAGAGGGTGTAGAGGTAGTGAACATGGGAAGGGTAAATGAGAAATTATTTCTCTGTGTACCTATACATGTCCGGCCGGTTGTCGAGACAAGGCTGGTGTTAGCAAATGGATCTTACTCTGATTTCCTCGAGTAATTGAGGCTGTATGCGTCTTTCCCTCTCTGTCTTCCCTATTTCTGTCCCTCCTCCTCTCGTTCGAACACTCTCAGCGAGATATTAACAGCGTCGGCTACTGCGCCCAGCCACTCATTTCAGCACTATTGATTTTGCCCTTTATTGAGGCAATAACAGTTTGTTGACGGCACTTCTCTAAACTGCTGGACTCAATCACAGGTGAGGGCCAAGTGTGGAACACGGCAGGTTAACTTGTTTCTCTCAGTCCTTGAACAAGCGTGCTACTATGTTATCCAGCCCAGCAAATTTATTACACAGCAATAGTTCAACAAGATGTTTTTTTTCCGTGATATTTTGAAGAAAAATTAATTATCACATTTGAAGTATCTTGTAACAACAGGATTTTTGCATGTGTGGTACTAGTGATAGTGAAATAAGGCCCACAATGACCCATTGAATGGAGCAAGAGACCATTCTCTGCCTAAATATTGTTTAAAATAGAGTGTTGCTTTGTATTATAATGTATATACGTGTGTATATTTGTAATATAGTATTTCATATTTTAAATGGATGTTTATATAAACTGATTAATATAATATATTACAAATATTTTCTTTTTTTTTCTTTTTTATAGTAGATTTGATATATTTATCTATTGTATATGGAATCATTTCAAGGAGAAACTAATAATTGAATAGTGGAAACTGCATCCCACAATGCACCTGGCCCATATTCAGCACATCTAGGCTGCGGCCTTGTTTGGTCAATCTCCATCTCTTCTGTCAGCGTTGTTTCCCACATTTTCCCTTTCACTTCACATCCACCTGATCCCCCTTGGCTGCCTCCACAAGGTCCAGAATTCAATCTGTGCTTCCAGGAAAAATCTCCTGCTTCTGGGTAACACTGCAGCACGCTCTTTATACGTTGCTGGGAAATCCATAAGGCTGCTATAAAATATCTGAATATGGATCTAACTAAACTTAACCTGCACAAGTTTATTTAGACCAGCATTGCAAATCTCAAAGCAAGTAAAGACAACTTTAGCAAAACTTTTCTTTAAAAATAGTATTCGTTATATAAGCAATTGAGCCTTTGCACATTTTTGGTGGCTGCACTCCACTGTCGTACTGTGCAGATGTAGACAGACAGGTTATTATTGACTTTAAGAGAGTAACCTTTGAGGCCCGGAGAGAATATGAATTATGCAATGAAGCCACATTAGTTAAAGAGCACAGTGACTGATATTTATGATGGGCAGATATTGATGGAAGGAAGATATGGGGGGAGGAGGGAGAGATTGGAGGGAGACTAAGGATATTTGATTTTGCGTTAGATAAGCTCAGTGGATAAGCCTCCATGTTAAGCAATACATTCGACAGAGCGAGCAAACTCAAATCTGCGGAAGTCAAAGAAGTGTGCATCAGCTGTGCTCAAACTCATGTAACGGACATTCTGCTCTAATTCACACGTGATTCACCACATCTATACGCAATACGATGGCCACATTCACTCAATGCACTCTTGCATAAATCACAGTTTACCTCACGCAAAGGTAATTAACTCATATGTATCTTTAAAAACTTGCTGTTGTTACTAACTAAATCATTAAATGTCATACATTATAACACCACAAACTATATTTTTGATGAACCACTACACTCTTATGCTGACAGTTACTAACTCTGTCTTGGGGCTGTCATATATTTACGATTACTACGGTAAAGGCACTTTTCTATCAGATTAAAACCTGACACAATGTTCTGGGAACTGTCACAGTTGTATTGACTCACCGTTGGAGTATCTTATCTCTTACATCAGTGACAAATGGTGTGTTTGAAACTAAAGATTAGATTATTGTCAGGATTGGGAAAGGCTCACTATATGATAGCCCTCATTCATCAAAATGGATTGCAGCCTTGGTGGGTATAAACAGCATGACATTACACACCAATGTGGTCACAGTTTGAGCCAAGCATTTACAGTTATTGAAAACAGATAGAGGCATATGAGTTTGTGTGGTTAGCATGCACAGATTATATGTACATCCCACTTGGATTGGGTTTGCGTTTGGCGCATGGTATAGAGAGTATGTGCTGTTCTTACATGCTAGAAATTCATTTTTGAATGCTTGCAATAAGGCTGTCAATTGCATGCTTAACAATATTAATGATTAATAACATGTATAATCTGTATTAATATGTTATATTTATAAATATTTAATTACCAAAATTAAAAATGTGGTTAGTTTTCCTACCACTAGCGTAATTCAAGAAATATTTTGAAACACCTTTTTCAAAATTTAACTATCTTGACTAGGTATTTTTATACTATATATTCAATAATATATAAATAAGATAAAAGTACATTGACTCCTGATTCGGTGCTTTACTAATCTACTACAATGCAATGTCTTTAAATAATCTTCTTTAGGGGCATTTCCCCTAAATTTGCATATCATGTAATTAATTTAATTAAAATGTTTAATCATTTGACAGCCTTTGTTTCCATGAGATGCTGTAGACTGAAGGACATATAAAATATATTTATTTTGTAACTGCACAGCAGCGAGTGTGAGGGACCTCAGTTAAGCTAATAAAACCAGAAACTCCACAAGACCAGCAGTCCATGAGGTCAGGGAAGCAGAGCAGGAAGTATGACATCATCACTGCGCTCTGTTCCGCATGAGCGACGCCGGTGACCCCGCTGGTATTACTGCTCTAATAGAACATTAGGAGATGATAAAATTGCAAATGAACAAGCACAGGAATAAATTTGTCATGTTATTACAGGCCTGGCTTCCTTGTAAATGTGCAGACGCCATTGCCTTAACATTCCAGATGTGACCCGGGCCTTATTTCATTTTTTCAGCAGTCCCCTTCCTAATGAATGTATATCATATTACCAGCCACCATAATTTACACACAGGAACAGATTCAATGTCCGGTGCACATTAATGTGCAGGCTGGCCCTAACGGTGCTGTGCTGGGGGCTATTTGATATTATATTCTTCGAAACACTACGCCTGGGGTTGTTTTGCTTGCACACATTCGCATTTATACGTGCTTATGTATTACTATGAATGTATATATACATCTCAGCTTTCACGTTGATGGAAAACAAGGCTGGAAAACACCTGTCAGGGTGCTAAAGACACTCTGAATGGGTCGAAGCAGAGATCGGGTCCTCGTAGCTCATAGCCGTACTGAAGGAGCGGAGAAGGGGGGAGGATTGAGCATGGGTTATGATAGCTCTGACTGATAGACAGCTATACAGACGCGCAGATCCGAGATCAGGTTTCTTTCCTGTTTACCGCTCCTGGCTCCCTGCTCGGCCCTTACTGGAAGCCCTGCTACTCACCCAGGAAATGGGTTCTGCTTCCAGACACAGGGCCACCACACACGGCCCATGCTAATAGTATTTATTTGTTTATCTGGACAAACTTTTGGCCCCTTCCTTATTGGATTTGCCCTCTCAACAGATCTCTCCCCCACCCCCTAATATCGTGATGACAGGAGATCGATAGGTAAGGACGAGACATTCTAACAAAGGTGAGCGAGTGCGAAAAGGAGAGAAGTAGAGGAGAGGCATACTGGATAAATGACACAGTGCCGGTGCAGCAGGGGACCAAGCCATGGACTAATGCTTCCCATCCCTTATGTTCTTCCACCATCCCGCCAAGAAGAGGGTAAAGGAGAAGAGAGCCCGTCGGAGTCACACATCCATACTAAAGCACCACTTTAGGCCTCCCCAGGCTCCCGTGCTTCTCTCAATCATACAGCCCAAGCCCGGGTGAACAGAGACGGGCGCCTCCCCCGCGAAGCACCCCTAACGAGGGGTTAACGCAGTACCAGAGCTCCCATTATTGAGTGAATTTAGCACCTTGGACAGCGCACTAAAAATCTTTATTGCTTTGCTGACCCCCTCGTCATGTTCGTGTCTGTGTGTTGCATCTGGGGCCGCCGGGGGGAGGCGGAGGGGGCTGATTGAAAGGCAATATGTCGGCTGGCAGGCAGGCACACATGCTCGGGGGCTTGTTCGCAGTGAGGGTTACACACCGAGGGTGAGAACAATTTTCTGGTTGTCGCACTGCGAGCTTATTTCCTCAGCACCGGCACATTAACTTTTAAAAAGGGTTCCACTGGAGCTTCAGGGTTTAAAAAAAAATGAAGAGGAGAAGAGGGCTTGGAAGAAAGGAAATGAATACACAGTGTAAAGAACACTGTAAATAAATGTTTAATGTGTGAAAAGGATGGTAATAAATAGGTTTTCGGTTATGGAAGTGAAAGTCGATTACCTGGAAGGAAAATAGTGTTACTGTAGGTCTTGCCTCCTGCGGAGCAGTCGTTTGCATGTACTAACATGCATGTATTTGCTTTAAATATGTTTGTATTCATGTATTATACATGGAAACGGTGGCAGTATTGTTGGTAGGAAGAGCTAGATGAAGTACGGGACTGTTAAAGTGTTTTCTAAGATGTAAACTCTCTAAAAATGGTAGGGGAGTTGTGGTCAAGGATATCGGCTAGCAATTCAAAGGTCGCATGTTCAAACCCTGTCAGGGGCGATCTATGATCTGAAGAGCTACGTTAGCATTTTGCCCTTTAGCAAAGCACTTAACCTGATGTTGTTCCAAAGGGACTGATCATGCAGTAATTGTACTGTAAGTTTGTTTGTGCCTGTCGAGTGTCAAGTAACCAAATAGACTAAAAAAACTGAATGCAATGTTGGCTTAATAAATAAAAAGAAACATTGCTTTCTAAACATTCTTAAAATGCTTAATTTCATAAAAAATAATGGCATATGATATTAAGACTTGTTTTCAGAAAATGTCTTGAAATATGTTTTTCTTTTTTCCCATTTTATCCATTATTTTATTCCATTTTATCAGTTATATTATCATCAATTGTCAAGTAAATTGATCTAGTGAAGATTATGTTTTGTGCATTTGGCATCAAAATTGACATGGAAAGCTAAAGTGCCACATTAATCTTTTCTGTCTTATAGGAGGTGATTCTGAAGAGGGCAGCAGACCTGGTGGAAGCTTTGTATGGCATGCCACACAATAATCAGGTGAGATTCAATTGAACACAATGAAACTTCAAACCATAAGCACTCAGATACAAACAGGGCCTCATTCAGTATCCATGAATATACATGTATTTGTGCATAAATCTGTTTAGGTGCATTTTCATGTAGAAATCACAATTAAAAAATAATGTGTATAATGTACTCTAAATTTACTATGACATTTTATAATTTTTAGAAATCACATTCTAAAATTTGAATCTAATCTTAGAAATAAGTAATCTGTTAAGACAGTTTTTAAAAATATTTAATATTATTAGAATTTGAAAAACTAAATTCTAAAATGACTTATAAAAGTAAGATTTTGCTACACATCCTCTCAGGCAAGCGTGCATATGCACAAGAGAGTGAAAACTGTATAATTAGTAAAAGAGGCGCATTGTCTTATAGGATCAGTGTAAATAATGCCATGTTCCACATTTCAATGGTTTAATTGAGCAGCACAGTTAAGCATGTGTTCTCAGTTAAGGCCATTTTAGAGCTTTAAGGCCATAGAATTGTTCTCTAATATTCCCTAACATTTTCCCTCAACATAACCCCCCCAATGTAATTCCTCCAGAACTCTCTCTCTCATTGGTTTGAAGGACCACAAGGGCATCTTCAATGTTAGATCAGTTATGAACTGCGAGTGAGGGCATATGCTCATGGATTGAGAGCTGAGCATGAGTGCAGGGATGCTGAATTATTTAGGCTGGGCAGTGGATGGAGCATGACTCCAGTCATCAACCCACTCAAAGAGCTCTCTCTCAGGAACCCCTATCCCCCCCAACCTCCTCACGGTCCTGTCGTCTTTATGAGGGGAAATTATAAGACATAAATTTTCCATCAAAATGTGCAGCCCCCCCTTCCCCAGCCCCCAAAACTTGTGTGTCTGGGCTGACTATCAGATAAACACATCTTTCACAGACTCTCTTATTCAATCAGATAAACACATCTTTCACAGACTCTCTTATTCACTGATTCATATGATCTTATTTGACCAAGGTTTATTTTATCTGGCCGCTCATAAGTTGTCCGTGCTTAAAAATAATCATTTAAGAAAGAATTGCAGTGGGTATTTTTTGGTTTTTAAATAGTTGTTTAATATTTTTTAAAAAGTAAAATTTTCACTTCTATTTCTTGATTATTTATTTTTAATTTTTATTTTATTTCATTTTTTATGGTTATGGTTATTTATTTAGTCAAACCATTATTATTTATACTGAATGATTATTTGAAGGAGATATTTTTTTTCAGGCAGTTAGCTTAATAATACCCTTTTAATCGTTGATCCATTTTTGTGTTGATCCTGACAGGAGATCATTCTGAAAAGAGCAGCGGATATCGCAGAGGCGCTCTACAACGTCCCACGTGGACACAACCAGCTGCCAGGTCTGGCCAACAGCTCAGTCCACGCTGGCATGATGGGAGTCAACTCCTTCCATGGCCAGCTCGCTGTCAATGTCTCTGAGTCCGCACAAGGAGCCAATCAGGGTGAGCAGAGATGCCACCAATCTTATATTTTGACCATTCACTAAAAAGTGATTGCCTATGAGAGTTTGTGTTTGTGTGTGTGCAAAGAGAGATATTAAGGGCCGAATTCACTTGTGCACATGGTACTCTAGCGCACCTGCAACTTATTCTCTAACCACTCTCAATCCAGTTTAACCAGGTGCTAAATGCACTAAAATATGGCTCCAATGTTTTTAATAAATCATTGTCAGTTTTCCATTTGACTCCCTTTTATATAAGAGGGATTCTGTACCATCTCAGTAAAGTGTGCCAGATCACAGTATTCAGTAGTCTGCTGCGTCCTTCAAACCTTAGGCAAGTAGGTGAAAACTAGCGAGATATACAGCATACAGACAGATACAAGCGTTCAGCAATGCTCCCTGAACCTCCAGGCTCCTTTACCTCAGCATTCCTTGGCCTCTGTGACAGTGAATGATTTGTGTTAAGTCAGCAGTAATGTATCAGTCGTCTGATGAAAGGGAGAATGAATAGTAAGCAGAGCAGAGAAGAGCGCTGCCTTTGTACCAGACAGCAGGGACTCCTGGAACGAGAACTTCCTGCTGCTTTCACCCATGTCAGCGTTTAATGTCCTGATGTATATTTATAGTCCATATCCTCCTCCTGTCCTATCTGCCTCCATATGTCACTGACACACAGATCTTTTTTTAAGGAATAGTTCACCCAAAAATTAGATTTCTGTCATCATTCATTCATCCTAATGACGTGTATGACTTTATTCCTACCGTGTAACAAAAGAGGAGACGTTTAGTAGAATGCTCACAGTGCTCTTTTCCATACAATAAAAGTCAATGATGAGCAGGAGCTGATTCTGTTCATTTCTAAATAAATTCTCTTTCTTTCCTATTTTTTTCCTCATTATATGTGTGTGTGTTTTAGGTTTCAGTCGAAACACAAGCAGTGTATCCCCTCACGGTTATGTACCCAGCACGACACCCCAGCAGAGTAGCTACAGTACCGTCTCTAATAGTATGAATGGATACGGCAACACAGGCATGACCACGCTGGGAGGGTCGCCCAACTTCCTCAATGGCTCTGCTGCCAACTCTCCTTATGCCAGTGAGTACTGATCCTCTCTGTGTCTGTTTTTCTCTCCTTTTTTTAAATTTTTTTAAATTACCATTACCATTCTTTTTTCTTTTTTTTTTTAAAGAAATTGTTACTTTTATGCAGCAACACATTCAGGACAATTAACTAAAGGCTTTTAGATTGTTACAATTATTTCTATTTCAAGTAAATGCTGTTCTTTTGAACTTCCTATTAATCAAATAATCCTGAACAATTATAACAAATATAATTATAGGAAATGTTTCTTGAGTACCAAATCAGCATATTAGAATGATTTCTGAAGGATCATGTGACACTGAAGACAGTAATGTCTTCAAGTAATGATGTTGAAAATTCAGCTTGGTCATCACAGGAATAAGATACATTTTAAAATATATCAAAATGTAAAACGTCTCAGGTTACTTATGTAACCATGGTTCCCTGAGTAGGGAACGAGACACTGCATTCTCTAGGGGTCACTATGGGGAATGCCTCGTCGTGACCCGTGTCTGAAGCATATATTCAAAAAACACCAACAACATGTTGGCCGGCGACAGCCCATGACGTCACTACCAGTGCGACTATAGTATAAATAGTCGCTGGGAGAACACGTCATTCACTTCTTCTTCTGAAGCTTGCGTCCAAAGCATGGCAGGAAACTTAGAGGACGCAGTGTCTCGTTCCCTACTCAGGGAACCATGGTTACATACACTGAAAAACAATTTTTAATTCAGATAAACACATCTATATGAAATATTTTTTTCAGTGTAAGTAACCTGAGACGTTCCCTTTTTCAAGCGAACTTCAAACTGCGTCCTCTAGGGGTCGCTATGGGGAATGGTATACCCATGCCACCATGCTGCCATGCTGAGGGGAGTGCATGCCAGAAACCTATGGTGAGCACTAAGTACCAACTCTACCATAGCCATGGGAGTTGCCCCTAGGACGTTATACGGCTGTCCGTGACATTATCCCCTACGGCCAAAAGCCTAGGCTACATACCCCAAAAAACTTACCTGTTGGGGCCAGACTCCTGGGCCCGGGGTAGAGCTCAAGGCTTGGAATCAGGAATAGATTCCTTTAAGGGGATACGACCAAGAGCCTAGCATCATACTAAGCCTTGGCCTGTCACACAGGGGCTACCGCTTGCTCTGCATGAGCTTGCTGAAGGAACTGTCTCAACAGACCCCTAGTAGCAACACCCTGTTAAAGTAGGTATCCAGAGGATACAAAGGTGGAGTGGTGCCCAAGGTGGAACTGGGTGGAGTGGTGCCCAAGGTGGAAGTACTAGCATGCAAACTTACCACAGTGTGAATTTTAGAAAGTGTACAAAGACTTCACGTGCACACTTACCATAACATGTATTTAAAAATACCGTTCTAAGGGGCCCTCGTGGCACTCTGAAATAGCTGCCCATAGATGGAAATGGTGCATCCCAAAACACTATGTTTGAGAAGTCATCAACTCGATTTTAGAAAGTGTACAAAGACTTCACGTGCATACTTACCATAACATTGATTTTAAAGATACCGTCCTAAAGGGCTCTCGTGGCACTCTGAAAGAGCAGCCCATAGATGGAAATGGTACATCACCAGAACAAAATGTTCGAGAAGCCATCAGCTCAATCTATGGTAAAAGGCTGGAATGGCTAGCAGTAAGTTACCTAGCTGAGGGAGGCTTAGCCAAAAAACTCAGCGCACCAGGGAGGCAGAGGAAGGGCCTAGTTCGCCTGATGTTGCCGGTTCCAGGTGCTCTGGGAAAACAGAGAACTCAACTCTCATGTGAGAGGAGAACTCCGAATTCAGAAAGGAGTAGCGTGCTCATAGGCAACCCTTTGATAAAGGGGAGCACTGCTAAACACTACCACGAGAACAGCCAACTCCTCAGAAAGGGAGAGAATTCAAACGCTCGAAAGAAAGCACCATGCTCACAATAACCCTCAATGGTGAGGGGAGCGATGCTTCAAAAGTGTGTCAACAGAGATTGTCAACCACTCACACTGGTTGAGTGGAGCCCAAGGCGAGTACCGGGGTCTAAGCCAACTCAGAGAAAGGGAACGAGGCTAATAACGAGTAACCCTTACCATACAGGATTTCAGAAAGTGTGCAGAGTCTTAGCATGCACACTTACGACTATGTGGATTTTCGAAAGTGCGCAAAGTGCTCAGCGTGCACACTTACCACCATGTGGATTTCAGAAAGTGCACAAAGCTTAAGGAGCACTGCCTGAGACCGCATTTCACAAGAAGGTTCTTGCAAATGCCACCTATACTTCCCACTCGATGTCTCAGCAAGAGGGGGTATCCTGGTGACTAGGAAGCCCCTCAGGGCGACCTAGATACAGCGTACCAGACAAGGCAGCCTGAAAGCATAAGCCCAGCTTGGACATCCAGGAAATTTTGCAATGCCCTGCCGGGGGCCTGATGATCAAGAAGGCTCCCGCAGAAGCCTGTGATCTGACCGCATGATCCAAGAACCATGAAGCCGGAACCAGGGCTATCTTACCGACTGGATACAACATCGACGAGTGAGGTAATCACTGCAAGTCGAGAACCTGGTTTCTGAATCCAGCAGAGGGGGTGCTCACCGAGGACCTACCCTCGAAAAGGACAGAAACACACAGGTCCTGGAAAACACTGCAAAGAAAGCTCACAGATGGAATACACACAACCACCAGTGCATTAAATATATATATTTTATAAAAAGGGATCGTACTCACCCACCATGGTTCCCGCGCAGGAGCCCTGTTCAAGAAGTGACCCGAAGAAGCCTCTAGTCCAGACCATCAGTAAGGTAGTTACTATGAAGCCATAGAACCAACCAAAACATCATAGGTCAGCATAGGAGATTGTAATGCAGGAAATTCCTACCTAACCTTGGTCAGATGGAGAGATGGTGGTTACAGGGGAATTAGGAAGGGGAAGATAAGGGCAGATGTTAAACCCCCCGAGGGAAATGAGTAGATACTCAAGTATCACTCTGATCCGGACGAAAGCGCTGACGCCTTGTCTGGATCACATCCCTTAGGTCTTGCCTACCTCCCTTTGACCCGCGATTCCTCCTACCCCTACCCGCAGGCGGGGGAGGAGCGCAAGCCACGACACTAGCCTTCTGTGCCCGTCTCTGATCTTCAGACCGAGACGAGACAGGACCCCTGGGTTGTTCGTGCTCAGACCTGGACCTTCGTGGAATTAAGGATTTGAAGGCCGCTGAGCGCGCCTTCGCCTCCCTGAATTCTCAACCAACGTCTCGACGGAGGTACCGAAAAGTTCGGAAGGTGAAACCGGAGCATCGAGAAGAAAACCCCTCTTTTTCTTCCCGATATCTGCCAGTTTCACCCACAGATGTCTCTCCGTTACCACCATAGCCGCCATGGACCTGCCCATAGCAGAGGCGGCCTGCTTAGTAGCACGGAGAGCGAGATCTGTGGTGCGGCGCAACTCAGCTACCTCATCGGGAGAAAGGCCCTCGCCTATATCCAGGTCTTTCAGTAGATCAGCCTGATATGCCTGACGCAACGTCACTTTCTTGGCCCGCTTCCACGGCAAGTCAAGCCTCGTTGTGGTGCGATCCATAACCTCCAATAGCTCATCATACGCAGGGCAGGAGAATTGGGAGGGCTCAGCCTCAGCCTCTTCACCCTCCTCAGACATCTCCTGCTCTTCCTGGGCCGAACCCAGCAGAGCACTGGCCCCTGGGTCAGACGATGTTAGGGAAATAACATCATCCTCCAGCAGCACTCTCTCATCCACAGCCGACGAGTGCGAGAGGGAAAGCCCCTCTTTAAACTCATCGGCCAGATCCACCTGCGATCCCCACGTCCTCATTCTCCGAGCAAAAAACAGTCAATGAAGACGAAGAAGAGAATGACGTGTTCTCCCGGCGCCTATTTATACTATTTATACCGGTAGTGTCGCCGGCCAACATGTTGTTGGTGTTTTTTGAATGTATGCTTCAGACACGGGTCACGACGAGGCATTCCCCATAGCGACCCCTAGAGGACGCAGTTCGAAGTTCCCCAACTCAGGGAACAGTTGTTTTGAAATGTGACAATATTTCACAATATTACTGTATTTTAACTGTATTTTTGATCAAATAAATGCAGCCTTTGTGAGCATAAAAGGTTTCTTCTTACTGACCCCAAACATTTGAACTGTAATTGCATTCTAAACATAAACTATAGTAACATTAATGCATCTTACACTTGTATCATATTTCGCCTAGACCACCAAGTAAGTCAGTTCTGCCACTGGAGCCTCTTCAAAAAAATGAAGTGCCCCTTGGCTAGAGACATAAGTTAGATCAGCAGTCATAGCTATTATTATGTGTGTGTGTGTGTGTGTGTGTCTTTAAGAGCAGAAATCAAATCCCAGCCACTCTTTTCTTCAGTCATGATCAGACGCTGTCTATAATGCTTAGCCATTCGTATAACACCAATCTTCTCGCGCGGCTTCTAAATTAAAGCGTCTTAATTAAATCAATAAACTAATTGCAGGAGAAGCAATTCAACTTCGGTACTTTGATTCCGTGATGTTAACAAGTATTTTAACAGGCTCACTGACTCCATGCTGACACTTTCAATCAATGCGAGAGAGCAGGCTTTGTGGGCTCCAATTTTCATTAATTGATTAGTTAGGCCTTCATAAATGGATTATGACACTATCAGGAGAATTTACTTGGGAAAGTGCCATAAAATTTAAGTGCAGAATAATAACAACAATAAAGGTAGAGCAGGATATAAGAGAGCAGCTGAAATACGACAGGAGTAATTGTAAAATCGTTGAGGAGGAAAATGCTCTTAGGGTATTAATAGACAAAAGGAGAGGCGGTAGAGATGGGACAGGGGAGGGACCTGTGCTAATGTTGTTCTGAGAGGAGCAGACCATGCATCTGTGGAGCACTGTGAACCTGCAGTCAAGGAATACTATATATAAATATATATATATATATATATATAAAATAGCATAGTATAATTATACTATTATTCTAAAATTCTAATAGCATTGTCATAAGGCTGGATCATAACAGTATTTGCCTATACTATCAGAGGTATAGGTCTATAAGGTATGCTGTGATCCACCCTAAACCCTTCCCCTCTCTCGTTCATTCCCGTCCCTCAGTTGTTCCTTCCAGTCCCACCATGGCCTCCTCCACCAGTCTTCCCTCCAACTGCAGCAGTTCCTCAGGCATCTTCTCTTTCTCTCCGGCCAACATGGTGTCTGCAGTCAAACAGAAGAGCGCTTTTGCTCCCGTCGTGCGGCCCCAGGCCTCACCGCCCCCCACCTGCACCAGTGCCAATGGAAACGGCCTCCAAGGTGAGAGGAACAGCAGAATATAAAGCTTGACCTGTATAAGTATACTGTATATTCACACATCCCTTCAAAAATGTTGGGGTCCGTAAGGTGGTTTAAGAAGTCTCACAAAGGCTGCATTAATTTGAACAAAAATACAGTTATATTGTGAAATACTTTTCTATTTTAATATATTTTAAAATAATTTATTCCTGTGATGGCAAAGCTGAATTTTCAGCATCATTACTCTAGGGTCATATGATGCTTCAGAAATCACTCTAATATGCTGATTTGCTGCTCAAGATACAATTATTATCATTATTAATGTTGAAAATGTTGTGTTGCTTAATATTTTGATGAAAACAGTGATCCTTTTTTCAGGATTCTTTAAAGAATAGAAAAATCAAAAGAACAACATTTATTTAAAATAGAAATCTATTGCAATAATGTAAAAGTCTGTACTGTCACTTTTGATTAATAGTGTGTCCTTTTTGAAAAAAAAGTACTTCTTAAAATAAAAATCTTACTGATCCAAACTTTTAAACAATAATGTGTGTATACTCTTTTATATGGATTTTGCTGTGCAGTGTTGTTTCTAAGCACACCAAGTGAGCTGCCTCCAAAATTACAATAAGCTAATTATGCTGCCTTCGAAGACACCTAGTATTGCCGACTTTTTTGTCAATGCAGAGCACTGTTTATATGACGCAAGGAATCTGTGCCTATGTAAAGCTTTCCAAATAGTCACTTATGAGGTTGAAAGGCATCTGTCTATATAGGCATTTGGCAGCGATGCAACTCACTTGTTTTGAAACCGAGCTGAAGTGTCTGATCTACAGCCTTCTAACACTTAGACAGCTGTCAGTTTGTCCTAACTTGTGGTAATCTGTTTTTATATTTGCTTCTCTGACCCAATTCCTATTTTTGAACTTAAAAAATAACTCTCTTTCTCTCTGTTTCCATCATCTTCTTTCCCCTTCCCCTGCTTTCTCCCTCTGCTTCCAGTAGATCAATCTTTTGTGGACTCTAGCAAGTACTCCACCGCCGGCTCCCTGCAGGGACTGGCCTTCTCCTGAAGTATGTTACACCTGTCTCACACTCTTTCTTCATCATCCTCTCTTTCTGTCCATGAAGTCATCCATCAGCATGACTGTCAGAGCATCCTCTCCTTTCATCCTCCTTCGTTCTCCTCACTTCTGCTCGGTCACTGGGGGCCTGCTGCACATCTCGAAGAGCATGCCATATGTGTTTCATTTCCTGCCTGACTTCCTGTTTCCTGTGTCAAATCCTCCTCAGAGTTTGTTTGTGTTCGCTTGTGTTTGTCAGTTAACTAACCATAAGTCTGTTAACATCCACTAACATAAAAATTCTAAAAGGTGAATTTCAAGAAAAAATGTATGGATGATATTTATACCCCAAAATATTTAGGACTATTAAGATTTTCTGCATTGTGACATTATTTTCATGATTTATGGGGCACATTTCCCCATAAATTTGTAATATTGAAAAATCTCATTCTCATTACTTTCATAAAGTAATAAAGTAATCCTGGCCATTTTGTTTTATTAAAATCAGCCTAAAAATAAATTTAAATAATAAAATTAAATAATGCAAATAAATAAATACGTGTATGTAATATATACTGACAATTACAAACAATTACAGAAGGAGAAAATGACACCATGTAAACAAAATGTTAATGGTCCTAAAAATATGTTTTATTTTTCATCCACATTATATTATTAATATTATTATTTATTTTAGTTTCAGTTAAGGTAAAAATACCTGGTAAATTTGTTCAGTTTTTTGGAGATTCAGCCAAATAGTAGCAGGCTACATAAAACCAGTTGTGTGACATTTATAAAGACACATGTTCATTGTTATCTGAAACAAAAGCCATAATCAGCTTCCTCTGATTTATGACAATTACTCTGCGCAGCATTTGGCCCTGGGTGTTGATCTGAAATATCTAGGCATCCACAGTGAGACAATATTAAAGTAATTGAGCGTTTGAGGCAGACATCTCTTATCTGCGAACGTGGAGTGCTTCCTCTCCGTATGTTGATATGCACTCAGCACTCTGACCCAATGACCGACTGTCGGTCACCACTCATTTTTTTTTTTCATTAAAAATGAGGCAGAGACACTCAGGAAATAACCCAGGAATTAGAGATGAGGGACCAGCGAGAGAAAATCAATAGGAAGCCAATATGTTACATGAAAAATCTGGTGCGGTGATGTGGCCTGCTGAAAGTGGGGAGCGATGGAGAGAGAAACCCGGCTCAGTGCTCATGGGACTTCCTTCTTCTTGGCCAATAATGAATAGAAGTGATACTAATGTTTGACTGAACATTGTTTAATGTTTGAGAGCAAAAATTATTTATCTAAGCTCAAGCTATTTTTGTTTAGGTGTTGGCAAGCAAGTTCATTTGGGTCAGAATATGTATACACTGCATGCACTTTTTATTAGCATAGCTGTTTGTATGTAATTTGTCTCGTAAAAATAATGTCCCCATAAATGTGTGTCGGTCCCCATAGGCACATGAAGTAAACACTGAGTCGCTCATCAAAATACAGACGAAACACTACACGGTCAAATAGAAACTGCTTTAAATGACCTGTTTTTATTCAAGTCAAATATATTATTTAATATGACTGGATTATACTGGATTACCCCAATGGAAGTCATTTTTAAGAGTAAAAATAGCTCCAACCACATGCATACACGGAGTTTGTCCTCTACGCTCTTCATGTAAATGCAAAATCCCTCCAACTGTAAGAATATCCTGACCGTCTTCTCCGAACCCGTGGAGCTTTGTCCTCATGGGAGAGAAGCATTAGCTAATGCGTTGCGAAGCCGTCCTATAGTGTTATCACTAATTGGATTGATGAATTGTTCATATAATGGCTCCCTGATGGGGAGACTGATATACAGCCTGTAAAGCAAGTCACTATTTATCCTGACAATGACTCCAATTAAACACGGACGACCTGCAACCTTAGGTGGATCATACGGAATAAAGATTATCCTCACCCACTCACAGGGAATTGTACATCCTTCTGATTAATGTACAGCTTCGGTGTGATCGAAAGCACAGAGAATTATGGAATATACTACTGCATTCGTTTAGTCTCTCCATCCCTCCTTCAGTTGATAGAAGCCATATTTTACCCTGTTGTTTGGATGTGATCCATGAGCATTGTCTTTAGTTAACCCTTACGTTTCTATGCATAGATTCATTTTTCAGTAAGCACATCAGGATTAAAATCCTTAATTAAAACTAAAACTCATTTTAAACACACACACACACACAAGAAAATTTGACATTTTGGGCAACTAATGGAAATGATTTTGATCATTTGTCCTAAAATTACTAACTTGAAATAAAATGGAACTACAATGAAAACTGAAATAAAAATACATTCCAAAAATCCAAAAATAAATAAATAAATAATGAAACTAAAATGTATATGAAAACTGAAAATATATAAATAATACTAAAATAACACTGAACTGTATTGTGATTTTCAGACATATAATGGGAAGTCAGCACAAAGCAATACAATATTTCTTTCTCTCTTTGTCTTATTTGTTCATATCATTTGAGTACGACGTGCTTTCCAGATGCTTTTGGTTTTGTTGCATGACAGATGAAACCAAACAATCCCATGTCTCACTCTCTTTCTCTCTCTTTCTCTCTTCTCATGACTATAGCGATCCCAGGGATGATTGTTCCTCCCATGTAGGGGCTCCTGGGCCGCTGAAGAGGCACATTTGATTTCAGCTCTCGCCAGAGAATCTACTCTCTGGGCTGAAGGCAATTTCTGGTGGAGGAGACATGAAAACTGAACTTTTAAAACTCAGGCCTTTTGACAAAGGAATCTCATTTTATGGGAAGAAAGTGTTTGTTTGCTTTTGTTTTTAAGCCAATTTCTGGACTGCTGTACCGAAGGACTTTACCCCCCGTGTTTTGCCCATGCAGAAAGGAGAGATGGAACTCCTTTTCATTTTGTTCATGGGCTTTTTGGATGAATTTATTGATCACATGCCTTTTTTACAGACTGTATCACACAAACCTGACACTTTAGGAGCGGGTGTATCCGTAATGTTTCTGAGAGCAGCGACGGGCAACAGCACAGATCTCTGTTAATACTGACCAGTTTTTAAATAAATAGACACATTGGTGCAAAATCCAAATAAGAACAACGGCCAATTGTTTGGACACAGAAAAGAAGAGGGGAGGTTGTTTTGTTTTTTTTTGTCCCAGAGAGAAGCCAACAAATAGTTTGCCATAATGTTGTTTGTTTTCATACAAAATGAAATTGTAGCGCCATACTCACTTCCCTATTGTTTTTATTTTTAAGCATAGAGTCATACAAAGCATCTGGGTACCAGCCGGTTTGAATGGCTATGATGTAGGAAAGTTATTTAAGAGTTATTAAATGCTGTCATGCTGTAATTTTTCAATGTCCAGATCCATCCTCAAAGAGAAGAAAAATTGACCCAATTTCCACAACAAATCAGTATTTATGTTCTTGCAAATATTTGCTGCTAAATAGAGCAGAGATATGCAGTAAACAGATGGACTGAAGGAAAAAGACCTCAGTTGCCATGCCATTTAAATAAAAAAATAAAAAACTTTTGAATTGTATGTGTGCTCAGAGAATGTGCTGATTTGTTTTTCTTTTTTGTTTTTGCTTTGTCTATGAAAAAAATGAAACTGTGATATATACATTTTAATGTGTTTGGTTTGCTGTGTTTGCTAGTGAAGGATATAGGTTAAATGAAGTATAAGAAGAATACTTTTTCAGAGTGCCGACTGTTAAAGCAACCCGTTTTTCCTTTTTTTGTGTGTTTCTTTGGCTTGTTTTGGGGGACATGACTTGAATTAGCAAAGTATTTTCATGTTTAGACCGCACTGTATGAAGAATGCTTTCCAAATGTGTCAAACACCCAACATACAGCAGTTTGATTGGCTCACTTTGGTAGTCGTCTATTTTTGTACATATTCTTTCTGTTGCCATAGTCTTTGTTTTATTTGTATTTATCTCAGAATGGCTTAAGGCAGCTCATAATAACACTGACGATCGGTTCATTGCATAAGTTACACAAAATCTCACCAACTTCAGCAAACACAAATCATGGATTCTGGACAAAAAGAGGGGAGTCTCTGTAAAATATCCATATAAATAATGTATGTATATCCAGATTGTGTATATTGCTTTTCTCCCCATTGTGGAAGGTTTTTTTGTGATTGTTTGTCCATCTGTTCGCTTTCATCATTGTCTTTATTGTTAATGTTTTTGTTTGAATTTAGGTCCATGTTTTGTATCATGTCAAGCTTCCCTTTTTTTTTTTTTTTTTTTTAACTAAGTTTTACTCATAAAAGGCCATTGTCTATTTTTGTATAATTTGTAAGTTAAAAAGCAGTTGTTTTCCTTTTGGAATTTTTTAATGTATGGCAAAAAAGTAGCATCTCACAGCATTTAGTTATGTAGATTTCAAAAAAAAAAATTATATATATATATAAATATATGATGAATTTATAAATCTATATCTTTTCTTTGAGGCTTACAGAACCTGTACTATTGTAATAATATGCATGGGCTCTTCTCTGAGAGTGATGGTTTTATTTTGCGTGTCAAACCTTGAAGGACGTTTCTGATGAAGTTTTAATCTACGTTCTTTTTCGTCTTTTCTTTCCTCTTTTATTTATCTGATTATTTATGCCTGCTTATAGATCTGTCTATTTCATTCTCTCTCTCAAGTATATCAGTACCAGCAGTACAGATGCCTTAAAAATGCAAACCCATAAGCGTACAATCACTTGTACAGACTTCACAACCACCACTACCAGTGACAGTAGCCACAGAGTTCCTTAAGGGATTTCTTTCCAGAAAAAAAGCACAAATCGGTCTGTTTTACCTAAAGCGAGGAGGGTTAAATTAATTATTTGTCCTTTTTCTGTTGTTTGTATTATGAAGGATAATGAGAAGGAACTTGAAGGATTATAAAGAGAGACTATATGATTTATATTTTATGTGTAGCTAGTGCCATGGGTTGCACTTTCTCGTTAATTTAAAGCAAAAGGCTGCCTTTTTTCATTCGTTTATGTCTGCTGCGTTCTTGAGAGGGGGAGAAGCTCAAAGCCATATTCTACAGTGTCACCGTTCACTCTGAGGGGACGTGGAGGTGCATGTGAACCTGCATGTTTTGGGTCATGCCATAGCACTTTGTAAGGTACCGTTGATGAATATCTCACCCTGAGCAAAGTGACTCGATATCAGAGCACAACGCCTTGCCCCCGGAGCTGAGGTTCTGACTCCCAGTCTGTAACGCTGTGACTCGAGTCTAATTCTACTGTCAGCCGAATCGGCCCTCGATGATCGGTCTTCAGGGCTCTTTCATGAATGGTTTAAGTGTTGTCTTCTGTAATGTGTGTCTGCAGTCTGCCATCTGACAGAAAAATGGCTTTTAATATGCTGATGTGTGAGAACTTTTTATCAGAAATGACTGATGATAGACCCTTCATGATGTTTTTCTTTTCCATATGTGGCTTTGTTAGCGGCTCCATCGCAATGAATAAGATGGACTCCTTATAAAACGACAAGCATTTGATAGGACACAAGACTCGAACCAAAAAGCTGGCCTCCTTTTTTCCTGCCTCCTATTCTTGTGTTTGTTTGTTTAATTTTTAAATGTTTTTTTTTTGACTGGATACACACTGAACCGTTCTATTGATAGGAAAACTCGAGACAAAAACTACTGTATAGATTGTTATCATTTTTGATGAAAGCTGTAAAATAACTTTTCAAAGTTCACAATATTAAATTAAAGTTACTTCTTGTCTGTGATTTTTTTTTTCGGAGTGTCTTTTGTCTTCCTTGAGCCTTTCTTCCAGAAGCAGGTGTTTGGGGGCATGTTAGGAAAATAGATGTTACAAAAGTAACCCAGCATGTTATTTTTGTGCCATCTTATTGCCAACAGATGTCTGATTGTTCGTTATCTCCGGGGAATGATCTCTCCTTGGGCCCAGCCCACTTTCCTTCTACCCCAACCCGCCAATTCCCCTTAAAGTAGCACATTTTAATTAGCCCCATTCATTAAATTATTATATACCTGATAGCATAATGAATGTGGGCTCAGACTTTCGCAAACATGATAATGATGGGCTCAACTTATTAATTGAACTGCACGTTGCAATTAAATTGACTCATCATTTGCATTTACGGTCATCAGCAAAAATTAATCTCTCTCTTTTTTTTGCATATTTAATTTAAGATGCTCTTGATCTGATTAGCTTGTAAAAGTCACTGGCAAGATTCTGCTGACCCGATTACATGAGGGCAAACTCCACCTCAGCTTAAAAGAGCTTCATATGACCCTGAAACATTAGTGAAATGCAAGTTTGAATTGTTAATATCTTAAGCCATTAAATCAAAATCTAGCACATGGTTTCAGTGGGAATTGCTGACGTTTTAAAGCCAGAATTGGTGGTTGTCTGTTTGCTGAAATAAAGAGAAGGCCACAAACGAGTTGAAATTATTTGATTTTTTTGGTCCCACTTTATATCAGGTGGCCTTAACTACTATGTACTTACATTTAAAGTAATATTTGATCCAATGCACTTATTGTGTACATACTACATGCTTTTACATTGTACTTATATTTAAAAAATACCTGCATGTAATTACATTTGTAATTAATTTCTGCACTTACATAATTACATTATTGACCCATCCCTTACACCTTATCCCATCCTTAAACCTACCAAATACCTCCAAACCCGTCCCTAACCTTACCCGTGTCCCACCTCAATAGCAGCAGAAGTGCTTTGCAATACAATAGGAACCCAATAAGTACATTGTACTTTTTTTTTGATGCAAGTACATAGTACTTAAGGCCACCTAATGTAAAGTAAGGTTATGATCCACAATGCACTGTTTAAAAAAAAGTTTTGTAATCAGTGTTGCCAAGTCAGCGGTTTTCATGTGGAATTGGGCTACTTCAACACTGTTGCCAGGGGTTGTTTTTCATGTCCGCAGGTTTAAGCGACCCCAATAACACGATATTTATCCCCTAAAAGGCAAATTTAACCAGTGGAACCCTGCCAAAAAATGTATATTTTACCGCCCAGAATGTGTTTTTTACCTGGGGACCCTCCTTGAAACGGGATTGGGCTAGTTTTGGGCTAGTTTTGAGTTGCAATTGGGCAGGTTTTGTTGTGAAAACCTGGCAACCCTGTTTGTAATGTAAAAATGTGATTAATATAAAGGCATTTAAATGACCTGGCTTTATTGATCAAAAATATTATTTAATTTGAATGCACCAACCTGAATACATTGCCAGTCAAACGTTCTGAATAAAAATAAGTATTTTAATATATTTTACATATTATTATTTTTATTATTCTCCCTCTCTTTTTCCTATTCATTGGTCAGACATGCCAGAAAGTTCAAGTCTGATCTTTGAATTCTTTATATTGCCACCTAGTTCTAATTTCTGAGTGTTTTGGAGTCAGTAATTGTCAGTTTTATGTCAGTATTTTTGTTCAGCTGGCTTCTGTATGGAGGTAAGATGGCAGAGCTTTGTACAGCCATTAGCTAATGGATTATTGAGAGACACGGCTGCCCCCCTCACCCCCCAAACCTTCAGTCCACACCCCGCAGTGAGGCACTTAGCAAACAAAGCCCACTTTGAACATTAAACATCACAAGTGAAGGATTACTTATCTCTCCTTCTCTCTCTTACTGTGTCTTTTTCTCTCTTTCTGTCACTCTTCCCACTCTCTCTTCGTCACAGATCCCAGGGGAAGACTGTCTGGGAGCTAATGTACAGGAATGAGTGATAGATGACAATTTGAACAGAGGTGTGTGAGCATCTCTCTCCACTTGTCATTGTTGACATTCGCTGACAGAAACTCTATAGAGCAAATCAGCCTCTTCCAGCATGAGCTGATTATTTTTATATGGCACTTATAAAGCATCAGAGTACTAAACACACAGAGGAAAATGTATATTTCTCAGAAGTTGCTCATTCAGTTCTCAGTGATGTCATTTAAGTAGCATCTTGTTTCTTAAAAATGAAAAAAAAAAAAATTGTGGGCCTAGAGTATAAGCAATAAAATGAATGGGGATACCAAAGCTCAGATAACTTGGTCTTGAAAGAAGTTCAATTTAAAACACATTGCTGTCTAGGAGAAACAATTGAGATGTACTAGATGCTAAAAGTCCTCATAAGCTTATATTGAAAAAAAATCCACAATGCTCATTTTATTTTATTTTATTATTATCATTATTATAATTTTTTTATAATCTGTCCATCTATCCATGGGGGGAAAAAGAATGATTTCCACAAGGTGCAATTTAAATAAATTGGGAATTTAAATTGAGTATTTCTGATTTTCTGACACTATATATTATCAACTATGTTTGAATTTTGTTTATGTTTAATATTTGTAATTATGTTTAATTATATATGGGACAAAATACTACCTAATATTAATGTTATGTAATATTAATATAAATAATTTGTTACATTGGAAATATTGTAAACATGCATGCTTTCCAGATATTCCAGCCAGCAGGTCCTGATGTAATCCATACAACAT